GCAGAGCCATGTGCGCGACTGACGAGGATGGGTGGCGGAACATGGGTTGTCGTAGGCGAAGTCGACGACGGCAAAGACGTAGACTGTGCGAGTACACACGCCAGACTGCCATCGTCACCACCGGATACGATGAGCCAGGTATCCGCACTAATGGCTCGGGATGTCATGGCTTTTGATGAGCTTTGATGTATCCTTGCCGGATGATGCCATGTCAAATGATCATTTGACCCAGTGGATCTTCCACGCGATCCTTCGGTTTCTGCCATTAGCGGCCATACTACAATATGGCCATCGGTACCAGCTGTCAAGACCTTTTCTCTAGAGAGGAACATGCACTGTGTCAAACAGGATGTAAAGTAGAGACCCTTTCCAAGAGGCTGCCATGTGACAGTAGCGGCAGGATCATAACGATAGATCTTGTCAAATCAGCGCCATGCTACATTGAGAATACGGAGATCAGCTCACCTTGATGCTGGAATCTGAGAACACCATCGTGATAGTATGTGCGGATCCCGATGTGGTCACATCGAAAGACATGAGTCTCAAATCTGCGTGCTCACTTTCTGGCGTGTACACATGTTCGCACACGACTCCAATGTCAAGAGCGGAGGCGGGTAAGTCCCGGATCCGCCATACATAGACTGTGAAAGAAGTCAGCAGCAGCTTTGCAGCGTTGTACCCAAACCTTACATTCTTCACAGCCACCGCTGCTGAAAAGATAGTCACCGTCTTGCGACCATTGTAGGTGCTGAATCCCCGTGGTGTGCTTGCGAATAGTCCTTTGGCATATCAGATCATGATCAACATGGCGGAAAATCTTGATATCGGTATCCTCAGCGCCTGTGGCGATGAGCGGGTGAGATCTACCGTTCATCTCCGATGCAACTGCGACCGCCTTGATCTCACGTCCATGACCCCCTCGTCGAACGACAGTATGATTCGGTCTGTTTTGACTGCATATATGCATACTAGAGGCTCGAGTCCATACTAGGATACCTCCTAGCGACGAATGTGACCGGAAGGCCCAACTTCTATGCGCTCCTCCGGTTTCGATGCTCATGACTTGCTCTTCGCTAGTGACATCGTAGAGATACCATTTCTTGCTTGAGAAGCCGTGTATGAGGAGATGGTCGTCCTGGAAGTATAAACCTTCAATGTTTGGTCCGAATGGTACCGCAAGATCATGCACCAGCTCGACAACGTTTGCAGATGCATCGAACTGGTGTACGCTGAGACGCCCATCTCTTCCTACGGAGAACAGATGGCCGTGTACGGAGCCTAAGGAGCCTCCAGATGAGGGACACCATGTAAGAGAAGTGACTGCTTCCGCACCGTGTGCTTTCTCAATGATCCGTAGCAAGATAGCAACATCCGTACCCCCCTCACCTTTACGGATTTCATACAGTGCGATCGAACCCCGACGGAACCCAATGATGAGAATGTCTCTCCCGGGTATTCTTGCATAAGTCATACTCGTGATGACCGAACCGGTCGAAGATTCTGCAATGGGTATCTGCACAACTCTCAGAACGTTCGTGTTGCTATCAGGGTCCACGTATAGCAATTGCGCTTCACCTTGACCAACAAGGGTCACAAGTAATGCCGCCGTATTTGGACCATCCGTGTTTGATACCTCCACAGCGAAGATGTCTCCGACTTTGCTACCAATGGCATGCAGATTTGCCAGGGTATTAGACTCCTTACTGTACACGTAGATGTTGCCGCTACTACCAGCGATGTAAGCGAAACCAGGACGGCAGCCACTCGTGCAGACAGAATAACCAGAAAGATCTTTCAGTTCATCGAGTAACTTTGAGTCTGAAAGGAGGCTTGATTGACATGGGGCTGTCCTGGACGAAATGGCGCCGATAAGTACGTTTCCAGAGTTAGTAGTAAGCAGAAATGAGGTTTCATCGACAAAGCAATAGCTCCTGAAGAACTCTGCTTTCCTTGGAAACTTTGGACCGTCCACAAATTCAGGCCTGTTTGGATCAGGCTCGGCCACTCGCGCCCATGATAATATGTCGTGTACAGTATACTCAGCGATCGCACCACGTAAGTTCTTCTCTGCCTGCAGGATGCGCAATAACGGGGAAGCGGTGACTTTACTATCAGCGCCACCTGCAATAACCTGCTGTATTCCTGTTGAGTCATTGGAAACAACACTCGACCACAAGTTCTTCCCGCTATGATGCGCGGTGCAGTCAAGTTCTAGCAACCTGTAAGGAAAGCTCGTGCTACTTCCGGGGTTTGGCGTAAGTTCCCACGTCCTTGCAGTTGCATCTTCACCGGCAGACTGGAGCAACAGTGATCCATTGCATGGCGATGCTTCGAGAAAGCAGACCGTCCAAACGCGTGAAAGATGACCCCACCCGATGGCGAGACAGCTCGAGCTATTAAACTCATTTGAGTCGAAAGCTTCGTTGGTAAAGCCGGTATGACGAGTTCTCAGAATCTCCAAGTCATTGCTATGAGCTTCCGAGGTAGTGGCACTAGTGTTCACATCCGATACGTCCCATATTCGGATTGTGCGGTCATCGCTGCAGCTTGCTACCACTCGCCTCAGTCTTTGACAACATTCGGTGGGTAGCTCTTCCGAAATCTTGACCCCGAAAATTGAGCCCTCGTGACCCAAAAAGACGCGATGAATACGGGAGGCGGATCCACCGCCGCCATTGTCGGACCATGACCAGTATATAATCTCACCGAACGCTGTACCAGCAGCAACAAGGACCTGGTTTAGATTCTCCCAGAACAGGTGAGCGGAGTAGAGGATAGATCGAGAACTTGAAGTAAGCTCAGATACAGCTACATCAATGTAACTGAAATCAAAATGTCAGCAAGAAAATGATACTCCAACGGATCAATGTGTGGTATGCGCACTTGGTCATGTGGAAGTCGTCCGACGTCCTTTGTTCCATCTCAACGTGCAGCAGTGCGTTATGAGCAGTGACAGCAATGCAGGATCCTTTGTGGTACTGAGCATCGTCATCCAGGCCTTTGGGACGAGGAGCGAGATCAAGAATCCAATCTGAAGCTTTCGCGACGTTGGAGAAACATAGGCTCAGGCCTTGTTGGCCAACTTGATCTGCAAAGTCAATCTCGAGGGCGCGGACCAGTCTTCCACCCCAGATGACCAGTTTGATAACGTGCGCATGCTCTTCCGAAAAGACGCGTATTCCATGGATTGCTTGAGCTTTGAAGACGCGCTCCGAAGAGATGTACCGCGAGTCGCTGGCATGGTGGAAGCGTAAAAAGGGGCCTTCTGCAGCGATCAGCAGAGCGCCGCAAGAGGCCAGTGCTGTCACTGGTACGCGAATGCATTCATGCTGCGGTGATTAGCTGCTGTCTGGCTCGGTGCAATGCAGACTCACGTGTAGAGTTGGCAACATTGGCTCGCCAGAATCATATGTGAGGTTGGTGTTCATGATGGGAAAATTGGGGTTGAGTCAGCCCCGCGAAGTGTGGCGGGCGTGGCGGGGCAATGACGGAGTGCGTTTCCGCGATTTTTTGTCGACCTTCACCGCGCTGATTGCTGCTACAAGCACCCACATCACTCTCTACACTCTCACTTCAAACTACCCATAGATAGTATTTCCCTAGCAAAATCGCCAACATGTCTCTCGCAGGCCCACTAGGCACGAGCATCAATCCAGAGGAGACTGAGAACTTTGAGGATGCAGGTACCCCAAAGCCAGCGCGTCGACAGTCATCGCTAACAGCGTCTACAGATCGAGAAGCAGTTCGCGGTCAAAGGTACAGATCACGAGACCTGCCGGTCGCGACCATGCTGACAGTATCACACAGTTGTGCAGCACATGGAAACATACTGGAAGATCCTCGAGAAAGTACCCGGCTCCAAGCTGCGACTCACCAAGATCGACGACGAAATCTACGAACACCTCAAGACGGAATTCCCCGAGTTCGACGCATCAGCCACACTAAACGAGGATGAGATGAAGAGCAAGGAGGGGAAGGAGCGATGGCGCAAGTTCATCAGTGAGTACGAGAAGAAGGTCGAGGACTACAACTTCGGCACAATGCTGCGCGCAAGTCCCAAAATGGAATACAGCCAGGAAGGCACAATATTCGCTGTTCGAATGCAGTTCTACGCTATTGAAATCGCACGGTAAGCTACGCCCTGGATATAGCGGCGCGCCCAATGCTGACATGCGCAGTAACCGAGAAGGCCTGAATGACTGGATATACGAGAAGGCGCAGGGCAAGTAGTTCGCCGCAGGATGATCCTGGAAATTCTAAATTCCAAGTTATTGTTCGCAAGGGACGCCAATACGCGGCTGCATTGCCGACATCCGGCCCGTCACTTGTTCGTCGCTTACGAGCTCACGTTCTTTGTCGGCCGCCCAGCTATGACCGTCTATGAATATCTGTCATGCAAGCCACTGGATCATCGGTGGAGTACCATATTGGCTTGGTAATTGACGTATTGGTGAACATGTAATCTTCGTCAGTTGCCGGCCTATACTGTGCATGTCAACTACAAGACCAACAAAGCGCTGAATCGGGAGTGTCGCTCTCAGCTCACCATCCGCTGATGACCTGCGCGGAGGAAGCCACTGTTTCATCTCGTTTTAAAGTGATCGCATGAGTGGATGCAATTTTTGGGCTTTTCGTGAAGGCGGCGATTGGTGGCTGGAGAACAACGTCAAGGAAAGACAAAGTAAGCGACGAAAGCAGGTGCGCGGAAACCATCTTTCCAGGGCTACGACCACATGGCCGCCACAAACTAGTCCATATGTGGTAATTCCCTATTCTCTGTTCTCACTTCATCTCTTTGGGTCGCTCTTACCTTTTGTCGATTCCACCACCTTACACTCTCTTTTCGCAGTCGCTGCCGGCGAGTGGTCAAGATGGTGACGATGATTAATCCAAACGCGACCGCTCGTTCCGAAAAGCCGCCGTCTCTGAATGATGAGGATCAGGATTATATAACGAACGTGGGATGGAGGACGTTGTTCACTTTCGCCACAAAACAGTATATGCCCGCACTGCTTGGCGGTATTGCGATGGCGTCCGTCGCTGCGCTGTCCATGCCCGCTTTCGCAATCCTCTACGGTCTCGTATCTGGTCAATACACAAGCTATGGCGAAGGATCGAGAAGCAGCAGCCAACTCATGAGCAACATGGCCAGGTTCTGCGTAATTCTTACCGCTCTCGCAACACTCAACTGGATTGCCGATAGTTTCTACTATCTCTTCTTTCTCATGTTCGGAGAGCTCCAGGCGAGGAGTGCCCGCAACAGAATCTTCGATGCTCTTATCAAAAAGGATATGGCTTGGATCGATACGCGGGAGGATGGAATCGCCGCATTTCTGCCGATAGTACAGATGTAGGTGCCACTCTAATATCGGAATCGCCGTAGAAATACGTTCGCTAAAGAAGATCCTTGGGGGTCGCTTTTTACTATTCGTGGAATCTAACATTGGTCGTATTGTGTACAATACCAGTTCTATACTTGGTTCAATCCTCAGTGGCAAAGCGGTTGTCACTACGAGCACACGAGCATGCCGAGAACTTGAAGTCGGCACTGAAATATACTACGACTGCAATGACAAGTATTGAGACGGTTAAATGCTTCAACGGGGAAAGATACGAACTCCACGTCTTTACCAGTATCGTCACGATTGCAGCGAGCTTATACAGAAGCGTGGACAATTTCCGCTCTATGCAGATCGGCATTATGCAATTTTTTACGATCAGCGATTTTGTTCAAAGATTCTGGTATTATAGTCACCTCGTCGAAACCGGGGAAAGTGACCCAAAACAGGTCCTCATGACGTTCTGGGCAGCACTTATGGCAATGTCTGGGATGACCCAGATAATGCCTCAGCTGATTGTATTGCAGCAAGGAAAGATGGCCGGTGCAAAATTAAGTGTGCTTATGAAGTTGATTTCAACGAGCGATCAGCAATTCGAATCGCAAGGCAAACTGCGGCCTGAGAGATGTACGGGCCAGCTCGAGTTTCGAAAGGTAATGCTTCTCACGTCGCGTCGATGCTCCTTACTAACTATTTACCAGGTCACATTCTCATATCCTTCACGCGCAGACGAGACTGTCATTCGAGATGCTTCGCTTCTAATCCGGGCTGGAGAGACGACCTTTGTCGTCGGCAAAAGGGGTTCCGGAAAGAGCACACTAGCACAACTTCTCGTCCGCTTCTATCGGCCTTCTTCAGGACAGATATTCCTGGATGACGTTCCACTCGAAGATTTGGACGTCAAATGGTTACGACAGAAAGTCATGCTTGTTGAGCAGCACAGCGTGCTGTTCAATGATACTATCCGCCACAATCTCGCTCTTGGTCAGCTAGGTGATGCAGTGGATATGCAAGATATCCGCAATGCAGTCAAGTTTGCTATGCTAGAACCTGTTATGGAGAGCTTTCCCAATGGACTGGATACTGAACTCGGCATGAAGGGTGGCTCATTGAGTGGAGGGCAGAGACAAAGAATGGCTCTAGCTCAAGCTAGGATTGGGATCTCGCCGGTGCTGATCCTGGACGAATCAACCAGTTCTCTTGATTACGTTACACGAGCCGAGATGCTTGACGCTATACGAAGCTGGCGGAAAGGGAAGACAACGATTATCATTACCCATGACATCTTGCAGATCCGACCCAACGACTTCCTGTACTTGCTGGACAACGCCCGGGTAGTACAACAGGGGTGTCGAAAAGAGCTCGAGTCACAAAATGGATCTTTCAGTCTTGTCTTGATACGCACACCGAGGCTGACACAGACGATGAGTCTGATGATCATGAGGACGAGTCCTATTGGGGGCCTGAAGCTGGTGACGGCAATGTGGAACACGAGGAGTCACGGACAGCCCGGATCATTTCTATGACACGTCCGCTATCTGCTGTTCACTTTGGACAGTCAGTGCTGGAGACCTATTCTGAGAATACCTGCGCGTCTTGGGGCTGTACTATACCGGTCGATGTAGGCCCAGGCCCAAGGCTATCCATCCATGAACAGACGGCTGATAGAGGCGGTAAGATGGAGCCCATTGAGACGAATCAAGCATCTCCAGATTCTGTGGCATCGAAACATCTCCCGTCTATGCCGTCTCCTGTCAAGAAAAGGATCTTATGGAAAAACCATGGCTCGAGACCTATTTCAAGGTCGAATCTCCACAGACGCTCTCTGTCGTTTTCAAAAGAACATAGCTCACTTTCAGACCCTAAACTATCTACGCGACCAGTCTCGCCGATCGGTCCGTACTCGCGACCCTTTGCGACCAACGAGTCTGTCCCAGTTCTTTCGGACGCACCGAAGAAATCTTCGAGAAACGATAAGCTTCTTCAGAGAATCGAACGCTTCCGCAACAAGAACCCTAGTGAAGACAAGGATTTCCCGGCCGCTTCTCTTCCTATGAAAGAGATAGTCATGTCTGTATGGCCCGCTATAGTCTGGGGTCCGCGTCTCCTCATTCTAGCGGCATCCTTCAGCGCAACGATTCATGCTGCATGCAAACCAGTATTTGCATGGGTTTTCGCCCAGCTTTTGACTACTTTTTACGTGCCTGGCGCTAGGAAGGAAATGTCCCAAAAATACGCCCTCGTCATTCTTGGTATTGCCGCTCTCGATGGTTTATCGTGCTACTTCATTTTCTTGCTCTCAGATACAGTAGCGCAGACGTGGACTCTTTCGCTGAAGAAGGAAGCCATGCGGCGCATCCTGATGCAACCACGGAAGTTCTTCGACAAGGAAGAAAACAGCGTGTCGCGGCTTGCCGAGATGTTGGATCACTCTGCTGAAGAGGCCCGAAATCTTCCAGGCCGGTTTGCTTGTGTCTTTCTCACTATGAATCTTATGGTTTGTATTTCTATCTTTTGGAGCATGGTCATAGCATGGCAGTTGGCCCTAGCTGCTCTCGCAACCGGTCCTGTTCTCTTCGTAATCACGAAGTGTTACAACGTTATCAGCAGCCGCTGGGAAAGATTGGAAAATGAGGCCGCTGACAAGGTTGGTCAAGTGCTCCAGGACGCGTTCGTCAGTATCAAGACCGTTCGATGCCTAGTTTTGGAAGATTACTTCAAGGAAATGTATACCAACGCAACTGCCGAAGCCGTAAATGTCGGCATCAAGCGCGCAATATACTGTGCATCCATTGACGGACTTTCATTCACTGGAGCCATCTTCGTAACTATCCTGCTATACTGGTATGGAGGTTATCTCATGTCGAAAGATGAGTACACTGCCAATGAAGTGTTGGAATGCTTCTTGGTTCTCATGCTTAGTGTCAATCAAGTTAGCTATATGGCGAACTACGTCACTCAGGTCAACATGGCAAGGGATGCTGGGTCACGATTACTACGTCTCGCACGACTACCAAAGGATTCACACGAGCTCACCGGCGAAATTCAGATACAGTTTGCAGATGACATCTCGCTAAACAAGGTCACCTTCATTTACCCAGCCCGGCCTAAGATTCGAGTACTGCATGAAGTGTCGTTCCAAATTCGACAAGGGAGCTGCACCGATATGGTCGGATCCTCGGGGGCAGGCAAATCTACAATTGCCTCTCTCCTCCTCAAGCTTTACCAAATAGGAAACAGCCCACTCGCATCCTCCAACCCGTCAGGCGATATGACCGTCTCGAATTACGATATCAAGACCTTGCATACTACCATCCTCCGTTCCCGGATGGCCATAGTATCACGAACGCCCGTCCTCTTCCCCGGCACTATCGCAGAAAACATCGCCTACGGCCTATCCCGTTTCCTTCCCGAAACAAGCATCAAAAGCATCCGCGCAGCCGCCTCCGCAGCTGACATAGCTGAGTTCATCGACAGCCTGCCCCAAGGCTACAACACGCCTATCGGCGAAGGCGGCACATGTCTATCCGGAGGCCAAGCTCAACGCGTCTCGATCGCACGCGCCCCCGTTAGAAACCCCGATGTGCGTATCCTCGACGAAGCAACGAGCGCGCTAGACGTAACTTCCGCTCAGATCATCCGCGAGACCATCCTCAGTCTCGTTCACGGCATCGAAGACACTGGATCCACCATATTCCCCACCCATATCACCCTGGAGCCGTTCAGGTTGGTTTTGGGATGAGATAGAGGGGAATTGGGATTACAAAGTTGGATATCCCCTGAAGCAGCGGATGACTCTGGGTAGTGGTAGTAATAAGGGCAACAGACCGAAGAAACGGATGACGGTCATCATCATTACGCATGTGCGGGAGATGATGGCTATTGCTGAGCACATTGTTGTGTTGGATCAAGGAAGCGTGGTTGAACAGGGTAGCTTCAACGAACTGAAGAGGAAAAGGCAAAGTGCTTTTGGAAGGTTGCTAAGGGGTACGAGGGAGTAAATTGATTGAAGTAGGAGTTTGAATGGCGAAAATAGCCATTTGTCTTGTTTTTGAGAGAGTTTTGTGTCTATCTCTTCTTTGTATAATTTCAAATACATGCTGCTCTCTCGATACTGATGTGTTCATGTTCCTTTGTGCAAGCACGAAACTGAACCGTTACATAAATACTAATTATGCTGCTACTTGACAGACTGTAATACATCAGGTTTAGAGCAGGCAGCAAACTGGATAATAACGTAGCCGCCCGTGGCACCTAGGTATGCACGTTCTCTTGCGCATTAATATGGTACTGCAGGAGAGAACGAGGCGTGTGGCCCTTTCTTTCGTGTCTATATAGTTAATCTGACGATACTTCACGAAGAGACATCAAGCCTATCATGCGAGTGGAAACCTCCAAGAACAAAAGATTTATTCCTAGTTGATGATAGCTATGGCGTTTCTTCCCTTATACCGCACGCGCTTCCTACGGCAGACTATCGTTCAGTCTCACAGACAAGCGTACAAGAAGGCGGTAAAGCAAATATTAGAACCTCGTTCGAAGTGGATGGTAACATTCTTAGCCGTAAATGGGCGGCAGAAGTACCATGACCATGTAGCGAACGAGGCAATTGTGCAATTTTGTTGTAAAGCAAGAATGAGCGCAAAACCACACAAGGAGAGAGTGCTCGTAGAGAACAAACCCAATAACAAGGTATGCTCTTGAAAAGTGTAGTCGACCCCGGTCAAGTCGTTAGATGTAGCGACAGCTCTGGGTTGACTGTGAGTGGAAGGATGTGGGACATGATGCTCCGTTGGACCAGTTGCTAAGACCTGCGATCATTTTTTGCTCAGCGTTGACATGATGTGATGTAGACTAAGGGGCCGCGAGGTCACCGTACTGTCCAGTACCTGTCCTATCCTGCTCAAAGCCCCTTGTGTGCTGATGGCTCATGTCTTGATCGCGTTCGTTCCGTTCGATGGCGGCGTTGTGAATTTCGACTACTGCGTTGCTACTGACGCTCATCTTTCGGTTTGCTAGTTGGGCTCCCATAGCTTTCGCCGTCCACCGCCGCGAACTGGGCCCACTTTGGGGGCAGGGCGAGAGAAAGAGTCTGGATCGAGAGGCGCATTCGGATCATGTCGAGGAGCTGGTGGAGCTCGGAAGACTGGGCCTGGAGGAACGTATGCGCCGCGCGATGCAAAGTTACCACGGCCCCGGAAGGCTGGTCCACCGCGACCGCGGGGCGCCGCATGAGCTCCACGTCCACCGCGAGGGGACTGTTGCTGGTTTGTGCGAGCAAAATCGTTCGGGTCGAAGACGTGTTGGTTGCCGGTAGTCGCGGCAGGGCCTCGAGGGGCGCGCTTGAAAAGTACCTCGTCCTCGTCATCGGAGATGTCTTCGGGCTTAGTCTCGTTTACGTTCGTGTGGATGGGGCTGGACTTGGGTCGCTCTGCGGCCTTGGGTGCGATTGGAGAGGCGCTCTTAGCAGCGGTCGCTTCGACCTCTAGCTTGTGGATGGTCAGATGGTTCTTGTATTCGCGGTCTTCACGAGCAACAGCATCTCGGAGCTGCTCAAGGCGTTTAGCACGGATGCCGAACTTCTGAGCGATGGCCTGCTTGGCAGAATCATTGGTGAGGAGGATGAAGGACTCCAGGGCCGCATCTGGATTGCCCTCCTTGTTGATGCGCCACATGATGTGATTGAAGAGGGGCTGGAGATAGACAGGCACGGAGCCTTTGGTCGTCTTGTCAGCGCGAGCCATATCGGTACTGCTGCGTGCGGTACGGTCGGGGGACGCTCTGAGTAGCGTGGCTGCCTTGTCTGTGTGTGGGGTGGCGTCGACTGGCCCGGACGCCGTGCTCGAACGCGAACCAGGCGACTCGGGAGTCTTGGACACGTTCTCGAAGCTGTGCGTAGAGCTGATGGATGTGCCATCGGACATGTCGAGGGCGTTGAAGGAGCTTTCGAGATCCTCGTGGTAGTCGTCCTCGTCCGACTCGCTATCCTCCATGGAGAGCAATGTGTCGGGTAGCAGGAAGTGCTCCACCTCTCCCCACGTCGTGTAGGCTTCGTCGACGCCTTCGAGCTGGACACGGCTCGCGGCTTCATTGGACGTGACTTCGTCGAGCCACTTGACGGCTTCGCGGGCGTCGGCGTGGATGCGCTCAGTGCCGTTCTTGAGGCGGTGGAGCTGGGTAAGGGCTTGTTGTGCGTTAGTCAAGGGGACAGGGAAGCTGCGATGCTATGGCCTACTGTGCAGCGGGACATAAAGACGTATAGCGTCCTGGGCGATCCACTTGCGGATGCCATCGCGGGTGCTCTTCTTGACGCCGGCGATCAGAGCGGTATCGTCGACGATGCAGTTGAATACCTTGCGCTTCGGTGGCTCGGGTGCGCGCGTGGCGGCCTCGGGCTTGCCAGGCCGCGAGGGGCAGGTACTGCGACGCATGATTATCGCCGATGTGCCTCGCAGCCGCGGGTAGTGAGGGTGTAGTAGCGATCGGCTATGGCGGTGCGCGGATGGGAGTAGTAGGCAGCTTGGTTGGTGAACCACGGTTCCGGCTGGAGCAGGGCTAAGTGCGGGTTTGTTGTTGGGCGCCAGTACGTGCCATGGGTGTCGACGCAGGATTTCAGGGTGTGCGCATTAGATTTGCGCTGGCCAGTCGAAGCGCGGGAGCGAGGTCATCAGTCTTGGGCATGGTGCAGAGGACCATAGTCGTTGGTGTCACTGTCACCGACACGGGCGTGTGAAGTTCGGGCCTGCATCACCGCACCATGATGCCCACGCCAAGTGGGGTGCGCCGCGCCACCCACCCAGCCACACCGGAACAACTGCACAGGAATGATATCTTGCATTTCATTCGCCTTGGTAGTCTGGCTCAGTAACTTTCTACCTCCCTGGCACTGCTCATATCTGGCATCCAGCCCTTGGGACGCTCGTTTCCACGCACAGTCAAACCATAGAGACCCTTCTCTACCTTGTCCACGCACTCGCGCATCACGGGCATCTTCTTCGTCTCCAACTCTGCTGCAAACTTGGACCCTCCCGGTGCGTCGAACATCTCGAGCTGCAGCCGGATCGCCCTCAGGTCATCCAAGACAGTCCGCGGCTTCTGGCTTTCATTCGCAGCTGATGCTTCCTCGTCGATGTCCATCTTGTCGCCAGCATCGTCTTGGCCATTACCTTGCTTCAGCCTCTTGTTCGCCTCTGCTTGCTTGCCAGACGGAAGTTTGCCGTTTGTCGCCATGCTCGTGACAGAGAAGCGCATCAGCTCGCCAGTCATATCGCAGACACCGAGAATGTAGTCTTCTGGCGTAAAGGAGATAGGTCCAGCTTCGCCGCTCATAGCAGCGATACGGGCCTTGGCTTCATTGTACGAGATCAGTGATTGTGTTTCAAGGTAATGCTGGAAGCTAAGCGCTTCCATGAACTCTTGATTGCCGCCCGTGATGTTGTGCGAGTAGCGGTAGGCATTCAGGCCTTGAAGGTCGGCGGCGATGTTCTTGTAGCGATCTTCAATCGTCTCCCAGTACTCCGCATTCTTCTTGGTGACCCATGGTGGTACTGCTTGGCCAACAGCGCGGACCCTTGTCAGGTCAGTGTGTGTTTGGTAAGGCCATCATGAAGACCTACCTCTGGAGAGTGAAGATGCTGCACAGTTGTTAGCAATCGGCTACAAGAACCTCGAACATTGCCTAGTACATCTTCTTGCTCGACGCGGTGATGTCACGGGACGCCTTGATGATTCTCTCTCGTCGATCATGGTGTTCATCCAGCTCTGCGCGGAAGCCTTCGAACATCGACACAAAGGGCGATTGAGATTGCTCTGGCTTCTCGTCCGCCATTGCTGCGTCTCTCGGTCGTTTGAGGCCCATGAATCTGCGTGGATGGTGAGCTTATACTCAACGTCAGGCAAACGCTGGGATTGTCCGCTAGTGCACGTCCTCACGTGGACGCTATCGCGTTTACGGACTAAGGCGCTTTCGGCTGCCCTCACTCCCGGAGAGTCCATCCTGTAGGGTTTCATCAACACACCACCCAGCGAGATCAGTTCCGATCCTCCTATCATCGGGTTCGCTTTTTTCAGCGTCTTGTCTGGTCAACTTGGCTTTTGTAATGCCGGAGACAACATGGCTCTTTTCTTTTTCTTTCGCAGTCCACCACTGGTCTTCACAACGTCAATCGTCCTAAGAGTTGTCTTCCTGTTATATGGACTCTGGCAGGATGCGAATTCACCTATGAAATACACCGACATTGACTATTATGTCTTCACGGATGCTGCGCGCTACATCTCGCGCGGCCAATCCCCTTACGCACGGGACACGTATCGTTATACGCCCCTCCTGGCGTGGCTCATCTACCCTACTGTATGGTCTGGGCAATTCTGGTTTTCTTTCGGAAAGGTCCTGTTCGCCATCGGCGATGTCGCTACAGGGTGGATGATGTTTCGTATTTTGAAACAGTACAAGAAGATGAGCAATGAGCGAGCCCTCAAATTTGCCAGCATTTGGCTGCTGAATCCAATGGTGGTCACTATCAGTACAAGAGGTAGCTCCGAGGGACTGCTTGGAGTATTCGTGACTGCATTGCTTTGGGCGGTGTTGGCAAAGCAAAGAGCACTTACTGGGTTCTTGCTCGGGTTCGCAGTGCACTTCAAAATCTACCCGTTCATCTACGCAGCCTCTATTGTCTGGTTCCTCGATGACACGCAAGTCGCAACAAGGGCAGATATCCGACAGCAACCATCGACTTCCTTGCT